AAGGAATTATGGACTCGGCCGGAATCAAACGAGAACAAGTGGAGAAGATCAAGGGTGACGAGGAGGCAGAATGGAGATTCCAAGAAGACCTGATCAAGCGAGCCAAGGCAGACAGGAGGGACATCGAGGACAAGCCCGGGATGAGCCGAATGAGTAGGAACTTCCGAGAGGTGCAACGAAGAAATGCGGCAGTGATGGGGGAGATCAACAAGAAGGTCATGTTGCAGACGTCTAAGACTGTGAAGGGAGATCCGGCTCATGGGAGATGGGATTTGACACTGATTCCTACAGGCAACCGTGATGCAGACGGGAACGAGATGATGAGGGATAGCGACGAGGAGGTGGTGCTACTGCCGATAGTGGAACAGACAACAAGGGTGGAGAATCTAGAGAAGTACAAGATGGTACTTGAAAGGATAGTTTCGCAGCTCGCAGATGAGACGAGGCTGGTGATGGGGATAGAGAAGGGAAAACCAGAGGAGCTAATTACGGCGACGGGGGTATCCAACGACTCGGTGACGACATGGACGGGTGCCACGCTGAATGAGTTGGGAATCAGAGGCGAAGTGACTGAGATAGAGAAGCCGTACCCAGCGAACGTGTACATTGAGATGGCAAGAATAGTGGCGGAATTGGCAGCGTGGGGAGGAGATGCGTACCCAGTGCAAAGGGGCGACAGGAGGAATATGAGAAGAAGCACACAGGAGGCAATGCTAGATGGATCCGCAATCGACAGAGGAAACGGGATAGAGTATGCGCTATGGGCAGAACAACACGACGGAGGAGGAATAGCTTGGTCGCTGATCAGAAGAGAAGTCGACGAAAGATCCTCGTATAGACTCAGAAGAGGTGACGAGTACAGGATTGCTTATTTGGCACAGTTTTACGGGATAGAAATCACCAGCAAGGTGTATAGGTGTCCGAAGACCAAGGAACTAAAGGTGGGCATCCCATTGGCAGTGAGACCCACGAGTGGAATGAGGATGCCGAGGAACGTAGCGATGCTGAAGAGTTGGGCCGGAGACAGAGTGGAGGGACAACTAGATGAACGAGAGTCCCTGTGGTTCAGGCTACATCCGGCTGATCTTCCGTGCACCGAATACATGGTGGTGGGTGACGCGCAGTGGCAAGAGTACGCGAAGGACGGGATAGTTTGGCCAGAGGCAGGGCATAGTGGTGTGATCGTGGAAGGATGGCACCGGGACGACATGAGGAATCCTCTGCGGGGTTCGCAGATGACGCTCAAGGCTCACTGGACGAAGTACTCTGTTGAGCCGTCAGACGTGAGCAGCGTGCATGGGCTAGAATTTCCACAAGGAGGGATGCCGGAATGGCTGTACGACTCGCTTAGATTGGCGGCTGTGCGAGGTAGAAAAGTTGGGATAGCGATAGACATGAGGATGTTCGCACTAATCGGAGGCGACGTGGTCGTGACAAGAAGTTGGCGCTTCATGCTCCTCGGGCCCGTACCAATGGCATGTTGGAAGGCAGTTTGGTTCGAGGACACGTACACGGCTCTGTATACGCGAGATTGCGAGCTGGAAATGATAGCTGATGAAAGGGGAGACTCGCAAGTGAACAGGGATAGACTGTCAAAGACTTTGGGGTCAGATGAATACCGTGATAGGGTGAGATGGATAATGTCGGAAATGACGGAGGAATGCGTACATTGCTTGGCATGCCACTGTAGAATGGCGAAGGGAATAGTGATCTGCCCGATGTGCTGCAAGCCTATGCCATCCTACCCGGACTACCTGATGGGAATGAATTTGTGGGAAATCACGGATAGAAACGCGGCTATGGGAAGGAAAACGATGTGGAAGACCAAGCTCCAGGAAGCCCTTGACCGCGCAGGGATTAGAATCTCATTCAGGATGGTGGCCGAAAGGATAGACATGATAGAACAGGGCGTGGTGGCGGGAGTACTGGCAAGCTTGAACCCTGCGGAAGACTGGTACTTAGGTTTTAGGGCCGGGTTGTGGCCTGAGTATGAGGTCGCGGCGTCACGACCGGGGTGTTTAGATTCATGGTGGACGAGGCTGCGATCCACGCGATGATGCTGGATAGAGAATTGGCAACGTCATTTGGGAAAATCCTGAATTTCGAGTACAAGCAGAGCGGCGCAGATCACTCGGGAATAGTGGAGGCATCAGATTTTCAGCAAGCCCTGGAAACGGTTGCGGCACGCGCCGTAGTGACGGCGAGGCAGAGGTTCTTCTCTATGCATGCAGGGTGTCTGAGGAGAGGAGGACAGTTTATGAGTTACCAACTGCTGATAGCTATGGCTGCAGGATTTAACTCGCCTCTATGGGGGAATAATGCTTGGGCGAAAAGCACAAGGGACATGATGGTGCAGACTGCTAACGGTTGTCTCGGGATCATGGAGAGGATAATTGCAGAGATGAAGCGAGATCCCACCCAACCTATGGCGAAGCACATGAAGTTGGACACCGAGGGGATACCATTCAACGCAACATGGGGAGACATTAAGGGGAAGAGGAACAAACTTCATGGATATAGCCATGCAGCTGGATCAGCTATTCGGAACTTGGGGCTACGAAGAGAGAGATCAGAGACAGGGCCGGTGAATGAGGCATACTGGAGCACTGTACCTATGGGAGGAATGATGATGCATTGGGCTTCAATGGGAGTCGCCGGACATTCTCGTGACGAAGCACAGCCGGAGACGCGCGCGGCTAATGCAGGCACGGCATACCCAATAGCTGGTGTTAGCCTAGTGGAGCTGAACGAGAAGGGGTGGCCGAGAAGGATAGAATCGAGAAGTACGAGAACTGTCGATGTGGAGCTTAGGGATGAGACGGGGAAGAGACAAGAGCCACTGACCAGGGCAGAAAGTTCGAGCCCAATTCAATTGAAGGAGAGAGGTGGGACGAGAGCCGATGGTGCTGAGCCCAAAGCGAGAACCCGATCACCTCTGGATAGGGATAGGAGGGATATCATCAGGTGGCCGAAATACGCCATGAGCGATGATAGTTCGGTGAGAAGCTCGTCACGCGGATGGGGAAAAGGGCGAGATAGGGATAGAACCGATGATCGAGGAGGCAGATACGGATGGATGCCGACTGTGCCTAGGTTTGCGGAAGGGACGAAGATGGTGGATAGAGGAAGAGGAAAGGGCTCACTGCTGGAAAGAACTCGAGCACAAAGAGGTGGCCACGTCACTGGTCCCGAAACAGAAGACGAGTCAGCGATGAGCGAAGCGCTCAACCCGGAATTCAGAGGTACGGAGACGACATCAACCAACCGGGCAAACATGGGCGTTGAGACGGGTGACGACGCAAGTGACGCATCTGCTGGTGATCCTGTGAAAAGGAAAGGGAAAGCATGGAAGGCCGCTAATGTGGAGACCGCGACGTGATCGCCAAAGAGATGAAGCCTGATGCGCTGGCGACAAGCGGGGATAGGACGAAAGCACAAAGCTGCTTAGTCATCAATGGATCGGCGTGGGGGGATAGAATGGGGCATGCAAAGTCATGTGCCCGGGCCATGGTCGATGGCGCGCGCGGGGGGAATAGAGCGAAGTGATGGCGCATGATGAGATGAGTGGGTGAATGGCTATTGAGAGACTCTAGTGCTGGGCTTGGCTAGCCACCAATAAGACCCTGCGGCGGAAGCTTCTGGGAAGGCATGGCTCGCCACCAATAAGACCTTCACATGAAAAGACCAAAAGATGAAGTTGTGGAGAGGAGAAAAGATCAGAATGGGCATGGCTAACCACCAGTGAGTCCCCACGGAGAAGATCGCATACAAGAATGAAGGGATAGAAGCGTGGGAACTACATTGACATCGAGAGGTACTGATCAAAAGTGAGGCCTCACCCAGGATAGTTATGAAGAAGATGAACTGAGTCGGGCGATGAAGTGGATAGAAGCGACGCTTGATTTTCCAGGAGTGCGACGGATAGACAATTTTACTACGTGGAATAGACGCGAGAGCATGAAGTATAGCCAAGAGCCACAGACTGGTGGTTTGTGCTACTGCGATGAATGTCGAGGTTAGCGGATGGCGGTGTTGATTCCGAGGATAGCTGGAGTGATCGCCGTAATCGCGGGTGGTGGTGGGCGCCCTAAAGGGGCTGGCGATCAGGTCGGCTATGCCTCCTGCGTTCTTGTTTTTGCCTGAAGCTAACCGGGATAGTCGCGAATTCATCGATTTTCTGACCGCTGAGTGCGTCCCGAAAACGGGGGGTGTTTAGCACAAAGAGGTCAAGTTAATTTCATGGGGTGCGAACTTAGCTTGTACATTGATTTCGGGTTTGGCCCAGGGATAGTGGACGTCCTCCTCGTGGATGAGCCTGGATAGAGTATGGACTTCGTGTCCGATCGCAGCCGCGAGCTGCTCAAGAAGGGCCCTTCTTAGACTTGTAGCAGCCGACTTTGTACAGTTTTCGCCCCCGTGGATAGTGTCCCTGTACGTGGTGGATCCGATTAGCCAACTCGCAGCCGGAGGCCAGAGGAGCTAAAAGGATCGGGCGTTGACGAGGGATAGATCCTTTTCCCTAACCTCGGGATAGTTATCTGTTCTCTTTACAACTCATAGCCGGAGGCCGGAGGATACTGAGGGCAGGTGGCTGTTCAGGTGAATATCGGGATAGGTGTACAACACGCAGCCGGACGGCTAGTGGATACATCTTGAGCGATAGGTTACCACCCCCTGGAGATAGCAACTCTGGGGATCCTTCCGATAGTTAACGTCGGGAGTGGCTTGGAATACTTGGCTAGCTACCTCGTGTTCCCCGTTGACAGGGATACTGTTACTTCTGGTGCAACATTACAACCTACAACTGTAAATATTCAACTTCTTTCTCCTCGTGTGGCCTGAGCTAGTTACTGGAACGGGTTGCGCAAGTTTTCATTGGTTTGGACACTTCGCACAGGTGGGGTGTGGGTGGGTGGGGTGTGGGTGGGTGGCTATGGTACCTGGTGGTGGTGGTAGCGGTGCCTGGTGGCGGTGGTGGTACCTGGTGGTGGTGGTGGTGCATGTGGCGGTGGTACCTTGTGGCGGTGGTGGTGAAGGCCGTGTGGCGGTGGTGGTGGGTGGGTGTGGGGGTGTGGGTGGGTGGGATGTGGGTGGGTGGGCAAGCGGTCTTCAGAGGACCCATAAGGTTTCAGAATTCCGTCCTGGCTCTGATCCCCAACTCCACCCGAAGGGGGTCGCCCCAATTTCGGAGCCTGGGAAGGTTGGAGTGCCAGAGTGTGGCAAACGGGCTTAGGGTTTAGGGTTTAGGGTTTAGGGCTATGTTTGGGGGTTAGTTGATTTGGTGGGAGACCCAGTACTTGTGTAGGTCACTGGACCTCCGAAATCTGCAAAGAGGTTTGTCACTTAGTTGCTGGGCATGCTACCTCACTCCGTGGGTATATCCTCCTCCGGAAATTGTAATTCTATGCTTCGCAACCAGGAGTTGTGCTCAAGATCACGAAGGTCTTGAGAAATGCACCCAAAAACACAAAGCTCAAATATGTTTAAGGTTTAGGGTCTGCGTCTGTATGTTCTGAACAGGCTGTGGCTTCTTCCGCAACAGGGTTTAGGGTCTGGTGAGGGGGGGTTAGAGGGTGTAGAACCCTAAGCCCTAAAAGAGAATGGTCTGGGTGGGCATGGGGCTGCTAAGCTATGCAAGCGCGCGATAGTGAGTGCGGCGCCCCTCAATCTAAAGAAACGGAGCACACCTGGCGTTCGTTCGCCGATGCACGCCCTAAACCCTAAACCCTAGCCCCTGGACACATTTCCTAACCCGAAACCTCAAACCCCGAACGCTCACACATGCCTATCCTGTGCAACCCAGTGAACTAGGCAGGTGGCACAAAAACAAACAAAAAGCACCAAGCCCTATACCCTGAACCCTGAACCCTAAACCCTAAACCCTGAACCCTAAACCCTAAACTCTAACTAAATTATGAGAACTCCCAAGTGCAGGACGTGTCGCTCCATGAGTTGAGCGCCGGCTTGGGGCTGGTCTTGGAGGAGGAGGTGGCTGAGTCTGAGAGGGTTAGGGTTTAGGGTTTAGGGTTTAGGGTTTAGGGTTTAGGGTTCAGGGTGTCTCAATGGAGGGAGCGCGCTGGTGCCAAAAGCACGCAGGCGTGCGCCCCGACTTGTGGAGCCCCACCCCCGCTTGCGCTCCACCCTCACCTTGACCTTTGCGAGTTTAGGTGCTTATGTACATGAGGAGGGAGGATGTCCGTCATTCGAGGGCATCTGGGAGAGCCTAACAGTCACTGGCTCCCCTTAGTAGGGAATGAGGGAATTGGGGCCCTGTATATACACTTCACCCCCTCATTCCCTGCTAAGAACCAGCCAGGGCTAGGCCCTTGCACCCCGCGCCGTTTAGGGTTTAGGGTTTAGGGTTTAGGGTTTAGGGTTTAGGGTTTAGGGTTTAGGGTTTAGGGTTTAGGGTTTAGGGTTTAGGGCCTAAGGTCGTCTTCTGGAGCTGGGAGGCTGTTCATGATGGTGGCTCGCCTTTTGCCCAGTGGTCCAGCTGGCCAGGCTGGATGCTGGGCCCGAGCGCGCCGTGCTCGGGAGGTGGGAAGGAAGGAAGCTCTAGGAGCTCCTAAAAAAACTAAGCCCTAGAATGGGGGTTTCCGAAATTAGGGGTACCTGATTGGGTTCCCTATGTTGAGCGGATCCTATTATTTTTGGGGATCTTTTTTGGGGGTCCGCTATTTTCGTAAACCCCCAAATGCTACTACCATTGTCCCCCGATGCTCCCTGTAATGTATTGCGATCGCCCACCCCAAAATAGCCTAGGGGCCCTGCTTAGTCGAGGGTTTGGGCAGAAGGCCACAAAAGGGACACAGGGTCTCTCCCCCTGAAGTAGGGTTTAGGGTTTCGGGTCCTCCATATGGAGCCTATTCCAGCTTTAGACATGGAGTCTTTGCCATCTGTATCTGTGAGGCCCGAAGTGCTGTGGCGAGGATGGAGCCCGAAACCCTAAACCCTAAACCCTAAATCCTAAACCCTAAACCCTAAACCCTAAACCTCCCTCCAGGATTGGCCGTCCGAGCCTGCAATTCGACTCCCTCGTGTCTCCATGTGATGCTTCACCCATCACAGTCCACCACAGGCGTGGGTTTAGGGTTTAGGTTTTAGGGTTTAGGGTTTAGGGTTTAGGGTGCGTGTTTTGGGCAGGTTAGAGAGCTTCCTGTTAGACTTCTTGGCTCGACTTTGTGTAATTTGTTCGATTGTGAGCGAAAAAAGGTGGTCGAGTCTCCAGCCTCATACTTGGAAACACAAGTCACGGCCATGATGATGCAGAGCTTGCTGCGCTGTCGGATGGCGGCTTAGCCATAGCTTCCAAGTACAGGGCCGCCGGCATCTGTCACCTGGAGATCTCGGTCTTCAGCCCATCTGCCTTGCGCAGTGGGGCTCCCTCGTCTACCCAGGCAGGGGTCTTGCTTTATGAGATTTGTGACGGAGACCTGCTTGTGACGGTCTGCACTTACAACGCATCGGATGCGTTGGCCATACTGTCGGTTCGCACCATGCACGTCTTCCCAGTGACTGGTGGGCATCTGGGACAGATGGTCTCTTGGCCGGCTCCTCTGGGTGAAGAGCTTCCGACGTCCCTCTTGCTTCTGCCAGGGTTCCTGGGCAAGAATGCCTGGGAGTTGCGCGCTCTTTGGAGTCCCAAAGCTCAAAAAAAAGAAGTAAGGAGTTTGCGCTTAATGATTCTATAGGCTTCTGCCCCAAGCAGCAAATCCAGGAACCTACTGGCTGTGGCAACGATTTGGTCCATTCGCTTCCTGCAGCTTGGGGCCTTGAATCCCCCACAGACATTCGCACAGCCACTTCGGGTGACAGATGGAGACACGCAGCTCTGCGTCTTCTTAGGTGTTTCGCCTCAGGCTTTCAGGGCTTAGGGTTGAGCGTTTAGGGTTTAAGAGGGTTTAGAAGGGATCTCAGGTAGAGGAAACATCTAGACTTGGTGCTTGGCAGGGTGCAAAGAAGGAGCAGCCAAGGTATGTGACCTACATGTTTCCATGGGGCAGAATGGGTTTGGGGGTGCACTGCCAAGGGCTTGGCTTTTATTTCTTCAACTACTCAGCGGCACAGCAGAGCGCGGACGAAGCGTGGCAGACGATTCTTCCTTTGTCACTGGTGCAGGGTATGTATGTGGAGGGCGTGGTGGGCGTCGGCAGCGGATTGGCTGCTATTGCTCCGAACCAGTCTGCCCCAGGGTACATGGGGTCATGCCTGTACTTCCTGACGAACTCCACTGCAAATGGCGACTGGAAGGCCACTGTGTTGGACGGCCCCGCTGCTGGAGATCTTGAGACTGCTAGCATCATGGCTGTGTCTGAGAGCATCTTAGTGTGCGCGGCTCCCAATTCGCCTTGGCTTTTCTGGAACCTGTCGGCAGATGCCGTCAAGTCGAGCACCTTGGGGGAACCCTCCCCTGCAGGCGCTGTGATTCGGCCGTTTTGCACTCTTGGGGGCCCTCCTTCGGGGCAGCTACTGGGAAGCACTGGCAACGGAGACCTGGTCGTCTCTGCCGGTTCATCCATCCTCTTGCTCCACGCTGCTGACATCGACCGTTGTCGGCTGTCCTTCGTAAAGTTGCACTCAAGAAACTCATCAAGGGGCTATTCGTATTCACCCACCAGCCGTGGGCAAGTTCGCGCTGTTCCTTGCTGTGGAGGTGGGGTTGCTGTCGCTCACTCACCAACTTCCATCGCCGCCGCGCACCTGGTCTCACTGTTCAACGCGTCCGTGGTGGAGCTTGGCGGGGTGTCCTTTGAAGAGCTTCAGGCGGGCATTCTCATTCACCGTGACTGGACCATAGGATGGTTTCAGGGGAGGGAAATCAGATGGCCTTCCCTAAACCCAAAGCAAAAAAAACCTGAGCAACAGAAACCGTCCGAGAGTGAGAGTGAAACGCTTTGAAAGCTAATGCGCCTGCTTCAGTATGTTCTAAATACTACCCTGGGCTTAGGCTTTTAGGTTTCGGGTAGGATATAAAGGTGCAATGGTTTCAAGGGCTATGAGGAGGACATCAGGTACTAAACTCCCTCATACTTCAGGTTGACATCTCTGCAGAAGAAGCAAATATTGAACTCCCACATGCCCTTGTGCATAGAAAGCCCGTAAACTCGAAACCCTAAGCCCTAGACCCTAAACCCTAAACCCTAAAGCCTAAACCCTAAACCCTAAACCCTAAACCCTAAACCCTAAACCCTAAACCCTAAACCCTAAACCCTAAACCCTATGGCAGGCTGGGGTGGGGAGGGGGGAAGGGAATCTCTTGAAGGGCAAAGGGTAGACTTTGGACTGTGGCGACACCATTGATTGTATGTTGGAGCCTGGGTGAACTTGGTGATAAGCTGATTCGGGTTTGTTTGGCTACCCTGAGGCCCGCCCCAAGCAGTCTGAACTTTGAATCCAAACTTTGGCTAACGTTATGCCCGACCTTTTCCCTGTACACGCATGCGACACGGGTGGGAAAAAAAGCCCTAAACCCTAAACCCCCGTATGTGTGCCCCTTTGGCATGCCAGGTGGGCAGCGAGTTTCTGACCATTTGGTCACTGCTGGCCCTCCCTGGCGGCCTGGCAGTCGGCACCAGCGAGAGTCGCAGCAGGTTGCAGGCAGGGTTTGGGGTTTGGGGTTTAGGGTTTAGGGTTTAGGGTTTAGGGTCTAGGGTTTAGGGGTTAGGGGTTTAGGGTCTAGGGTTTAGGGTTTAGGGTTTACGGTTTAAGAACATCGTTTTCTTTTTTGGGGAGTTTCTTAGGCAAATATCCCTCTATGTAGAGGTTTAAGGTTAGGTTCAGGGATTGTAAAGGGTTTACCCTAGACCCTAAACCCTAAACCCCAAACCCCAAACCCTAAATTCGCTCATGGTGTCTCAGCGTTGTAGTCTTGGCCGGCTTCGGCCCCACCCTCGCACACCATCAACCTCTACCACCCTGCCCCTCAACCCTTCATTAAACCCAGGGTTTAGGGTTTAGGGTTTAGGGTTTAGAGTTTAAGGTTTAGGGTTTAGAGTTTAGAGTTTAGGAACCCTGACACTTCGGCAAGAAAGAGCTGGGACTCTCGAGGAGAACAAGGTCCACGTCTTCCACGAATCCGGGAGTCGCCCAGGCGGAAGCCCACAAGGGCTATCGAGCGGCCCTTGTAAGGGACCTTCGGGGTAGTTTAGGGGTCATGTAGGGGCTACTTTGCTTTGTGGTACTTTACTGTAACTTTAGATCCTTACCTTTTTTGGGTTTATTGGGTTTCTTATTAAGGCAGCTAAAAGTTTAATCTATAGCTACCCTCCTGAGTGCAGCCAAGTTTGGTATATAGGGACTGTGCAAGGTATTCAGGGGTTATCTCGGGAAGAAATGGATTCTTGTACCCCCCTAGCATGATCCCGATTAAGGACTGTAATAACAAGGGGGAGCATCCGACACCAACAGGATCCACCCCTTACTCTACCAGCTGCTTAAGAGCCACGCAAACAATGAAGATATAGAGGTAAAAGAGGGGTTTATGGTCTTTTGTTTCATTTTTTCTCTCTTTTTTGTGGGGGTCGATATGACGTATGCCCTGCAACGCAGCGAGGCGGAGTATGTATATTCCTTGTGCCTCACAGAAGAATGGACATAGATATGTATGATCTCACGCGGAACCCAAGAAGTACCGGAGTTCTATTTCCCCTAAACCCTAAACCCTAAACCCTAAACCCGAAACCCTAAACCCTAAACCCCAAACCCTCAACCCTACTGTTTGTTGGCAAAACCTCAGGCTTGGAGACCAAAAGCTTTCTAGGGCCTGGGGTTTAAGGGGTCGGGGCTTAGGGTTTAGGATTTAGGGTTTAGGGTCTCAGGGTTAAGGGTTTAGGGTTTAGGGTGTAGGGTTTGGTATTATATTAGGGGGTACTATAATGCCTATAGAGGCCTGGATGCAAAAAGGGGTTCCGGGTGTGACCCCCCAGAGACAGCAGGGAGACAGGCACCTAAGCCCACAAAGCCACCCCATAAAGAAAGTAGATTTCAGTTGTTGGCTCCCGAAACACTCTCAACTCCTAAACGGGTCCTAAACCTAACCTCCTTTGCCCCAAATACTAAACCGCTAAACCCTAAACCCTAAACCCTAAACCAACCCTTTCCAGGAAGCTTGCAAGAGACGGTGGCCTTCGACGCGTACGGGACGCCCTCGCGGCTCAGCGCCTACGCCCGCGGGCCTGGCAGAGCGCTGCCGGACCACCAGGGCTCCAGGGTTGTTAGGGTTTACGGTTTAGGGTTTAGGGTTTAGGGTTTAGGGTTTAGGGTTTGCTGTGATAGGGCATAGGTGCTGTGAAGGTTAGGTTTCGGAACAAGCTCGAAAGCTTCGTGAGGTAGCTGCTTTGGCCCGATTGTAGAGGGCCATCGAACACTTTGCTCCCACCCCACGCCGTCCGAGGCGGCAAAGCCACCCAAACCTATTCCTTTTAGGGTTTAGGCCTAAACTCAAGGCAACAGTCCACTTCTAAAAACTTATTCAGTTTCATGACGTTCGGGGTTGTGTCCGAGGGTCCCAGGCAATTTCCGGGAGGGTCCCAAGCAGTGCCTACAGGGTGGTCAGGGGGGGTCAGGGAGGGCCAGGGAATTCAGGAGGTTGCAGAGAACCAAAAGGTCAAAAAAGGGTGCTTCCTCCTGGGCTAGGCCTTGGGGCCCCAGGCTGCCCGGCCCCCAACTGCCTAGGCCTTGAGTTTAGGGTTTGGGGTTGCAAGTAAGGGTTTGGGGACCAGGGACACAGAGTTGAGAGGGTTTGTTTGTAGGGTGGTGCTGGAATTCAGCATGTCCAGGTGTAAAGGGGTCTTTCAGAAGGCAGTTCTCTTGAGCCCACCCAGCCGGCCGCAGGTCAGAACCCTGGCCTTGTTCTTGCTGCATCCCGACCCTAAACCCTAAACCCTAAACCGCAAGTTCTAAAGTTGGAAACCATGGGCCCTTAGCATGGTCCCTCGGTTCCCTTACACTGGTTTATAGGGATCCGAAGTATGGGCCCTTGTTATGTGTCGTGTGTACAAGCGTTATATAACAATGGACCCAAATTAAAGGCTCATACTTCAGAACCCCTACATATACGTGGCCTCAGTAGCTGATTGTGGCCTTCATGCCTTCAACCTACAACTATCTTGCAATTGGTCGATCTAATTGTAAACGAGAACAGATCCTGTTTCGGAACAAGAAAAAACTGGACAGCCCCTGTACGAAGCTATGTGTGCAATACAGGTTCTATACGGATCCCTACTCAGAACCAGCAAGCGAAATCATTAATTCATTTCATCCCGAAGCCCTATGAAGCCTTGGGCCCAATCAGATCCAGGGTCCTGGACCCTGATGCCGCAAGCCCGCTTTTGGGGGCTCTACTCTTTGTGGTACTTTACTGTAACTTAAGGCAGCTAAAAGTTTAATTTATAGCTACCCTCCTGAGTGCAGCCAAGTACTTCAACCTCGGAAGGAACTTGAACAAGCCCTAAGCCCTGTGGGGTGTGAGAGTAAGCCCTCTAAGCCCTTAGCCCTGACAACCTTCCATGAACCTCGAAGCCCTAAACCTTGCAAGCCACCCACAACACCCCAACCCCGCCGCAAAGAGGACTTCTTCCTCGCTGGCTCGATGGTCTTCAGACCACAGCTCTGTCCTGACATGACGCAGCCCGGGCACTGGTGGAGGGTTTCAAGGGAGTACGGGGTACGATAGGGGTCGGAAGAATAATTCATTGTATTCCCTGATGGTCCCAATATAAATATACTATAAGAATCCCCCCAAAAACCCTGTTCCATTATGTTGGCCGAGCCTACATTAGTTGGGTTTGGAGGCTTCGTAGGGCTTAGAGGGTTTGTCTAGGACTCTCGGGTTTAGAGTGCTTTAGAAGGCTTAGGGGGTCGGGGCGGTTTTAAGACTTGGGGTTTCGGACTCCGAGTCTCGGGCGAAAGCTAAGGGCAAGGGATTTGAGGGAGTTGTTGGCCTCCCCTTCTGCCTCGCATGACCATGTGCGAGAGAACTTATAGAGGGTGCTGCGCGGTTTTTAGGGTTTGGGGTTTAGGGTTTAGGGTTTAGGGTTTAGGGTTTAGGGCTACAACAACAAGTGGCGCCACCACATCTTGTGAGAGCTGTGGGTTTCCAACATGCCTCCAAAACACGCAGCTTACGCCCGCAGCCCTAAGCCCCAAACCCTAAACCCTAAACCCTAAACCCTAAACCCTAAACCCTAAACCCTAAACCCTAAACCCTAAACCCTAAACCCTAAACCCTAAACCCTAAACCAAGACTCCTAGACCCCAAACCCCAAACCCGAAACCCTAAACCCTAAACCCTAGGCGGGTGGCAAGAACAGCCCTACACCCTAAACCCTATACCCTAACCCTAAACCCTAGACCCGACAAAGCCCCGAACCCGAAGAGGCTGAATCCCATCTTATCCATCCACAGCCCCATGAAGACACCCCATAGACCCCCGGTTCTTAGTGGGGGAATGAGAGAATGAGGTACCCGATCAGATCTGTCATGCAATCCCCTTGAAGGAATGATATCGTGAAATGTAACAGACACCCGAATTCCTAAACCCTAAACCCTCAACCCTCAACCCTCAACCCTCAACCCTAAAGCCTCAACCCTCAACCCCCAAACCCTAAACCCTAACGCAGGTATGGTGAAGGAGGGAGCTGCAAAGACTGCCCCGGCGACCTGATGTCCCTGCCGGGTTCGGCTGCGTGCAACTTTCGGCCCGGCAAGCCCATGGTGGCTTGCCGAGGGCACCCGGGGTTTAGGGTTTAGGGTTGTTTAGGGTTTAGGGTTTGGGGTTTAGGGCTTAGGGTTTAGGGGGCCTTTAGGGTTCGCAGAGGCCCGGATGGAAAAAACAGGGTTAGAGGTCATAGTTTTGTTTCCGCAAACTGACGAGTAGATCCTGCGTGAACCAGCATGGGCTATTAGGCCTCATCATCCCCTAACCAACCCTATTAATAAAAGGCTTGTTTAAGGGGTCATAGGGTATAATAGCCCATGTAGGAACGCAATGAAGGGCCGCTACATCGACACTTTGCGTGCGCTCGCACAGCTTGTGTTTAGTAGGGGGCACGAAGGACGAAACGTGCTGGGGGTCTTAACGGCTGAGGCTTTTGGGTTTTTCAGTGTCGGCGATGCACAGGTGGTGGCCCTTCTGCTCAGTGTGGTGCTTTGCTTCTTGTCTTTGAGCATTGGCAAGGACTTGGAGGCAACTTGCATCCGGTAAACCCTAAACCCTAAACCCTAAGCCGGTTGAGGGGGGGAGTTGCCACAGGATGCCACAGGATAGAGCAAACCGACTCGTGCCAAGCTTGTGCCTGCCATTCATCCCCACAGGCGGCGCTCTCGCAAGCCTTGCAGACGGAGCTCCTATATCCTCCTGGGGAATTCTTTTGTATTTTGGTTCATATAAAACCCAAGAGGGCATTAAACATATGATTTTTATTAAGGTTCCAAGGGGGAGTGTAGGCTCTGCCTCCACTGGTTCCGGGCCTCTGCCTTTGCTGGCGCATCCTTGCCAGTCCTGGCAGGGTTTATGTGCAGACGCTCCTTGGTTTGCTTCGAAGCTGTACGTAGCTGTGCCCCTAAGCCTTGTTATAAAGACCGGTTTAGGGTTTAGGGTTTGGGGTTTAGGGTTTGGGGTTTAGGGTTTAGGGTTTAAAGACCATACAGGTAGCATTCCACTCTCTGGGATAGTTAGGTGCGGTGATTTTTTGGGAAGGAGAGAGGGGGAGGGGGGGGGGCGAAGCTTGGCTGTGAGCTGAACAGTGAGTGAGGCTACGGGCCAGTGTGGATTTCAGCCGTTCTGATATTCCTTGCGCTCACAGCTTTTGCCGTTGAGCACTGGGCCTGGCGACCGCGCCCGGGCATTCTGGGTATACCCTCCATGTCCGGTCCACTGCGGCTGCGTCATAGTGGGGTACCATTTTGCATTTTGAAGGGTACTTAAACTCAACAAGGAATCGAAATCTAAATTTACTTAAACTCAACAAGGAATCGAAATCTAAATTTTTCGTACTCCAACCGTGAACTAGGCTGCTGCTGGTGGGCCACGGTATGGTGACCAGCCTTATGCTGATACTGGACCGCCTGTATGTGGGGCTGACGTTGCCGCGCCACCCTGTCTTGACACTGGTGGGCCACGACCAGGGTGAGAGTGTGTGGTCTTGCAGCTTCTTACTTCTCCAACAGCTGAACTTTCAACTTTTTGGGGTTCCTTATTCAGTAGGAATAGCAAAGTCTAACCTTTTGTTTCCTTGGCTGAACTTTCAACTTGTAGGAATAGTATAAAGCTTAACCTTTTTTTCCCTTGGGTTATTGGAGAAGTATAAGGCGTCTTGTTGGCGAGCGCGAGCGTCGCGCTGATTGCCGTGGCTGCATGGCTCTCGGGAGCTCAGAGGCTGGCCCCGCGCCCGCCGGCCGGCGGAAGGAACTCCTTGTACAGAGAGAGGCTCGGTAGGCCCTTGGGACATTCTTTCTTATATTTCCCAAGATTGGGGCTCAAGAGAAATATAGTTAGGAAAATTTATTTTGTAAGGCTTTAATTTGTCTAGATTTTCCAAGATTGGGCTTAAGAGGACTATAGTTAGGAATAGTTATTTTAGAAGGCTTTAGGGGCCATCCTAGGAGGACTCTCGACAGGCTTGCAGTGGGCAACAGGCTCGGTTGCAGCTGCTGCGCGGGCGGGAGATGCCGCTGTGGGAGGTGGGCGAACGAAGCGCGCCGCTTCTTCACCGGCTGGACAGGTCGCCACAGCGTCATGGTGGCCAACGGTTGCATCACCACCGCTGCGTGCGTGTACCAGTACATGGAGCCGGTCTACAGTCCACGGGACGGTCTCCTGGCAGTGGTGGCCTCACTTGGATTGCTCTCCATCTCCACAGGTCTACTCGCCCTTGCCTCCGACGCCTTCCAGTGGCAGAAGAAGCTGGACCCACACTTTCGATGGGCTGTGCTGTGGAAGGTCAGTATGTTGGTAGGGAAGCTGATCCTCTTGGCCATTCCCCAGGCCAGCTCCGAGGTGCATTTGGATTCCATGATGAGCTGCGGCTTTGATGCCTTCTGCCCCGACGACTGCCTGGAAGGAGATGGCTACTGCGCGGAGTTCGAAACCGATGGGGTCCCGGCCTGCAAGTGCGTGAAAGCCGAGGTGAACTGGACCATGTACCTTGTGCTTCATCCCGTTTCTTAAGAGGCCAACGCCTGCAATCTAAGTTTGCATTCCAGTGTTTCGCAGTCCCTTCTAAGACCAACACCTGGGTTTTGGAGTACTATACCTTGATACTTCTATTTTTTGGTTCTGGGTTCCTCTCCTAGCCACTGATGCCCAAAAAGTATATACTTTTTTCCTGGGTCTACTCCAAAGTAAGGACCCTAAACCCTAAACCCTAAACCCTAAACCCTAAACCCTAAACCCTAAACCCTAAACCCTAAACCCTAAACCGGCACAGGTATTTCTTGACGGCGGGCACGAGCTTCCTCCTCTGCTTTCTCACCTTCATGGACCTGGCGGCGTTCTGTTCTGCGCGGCTCACGCCATGGCACGAGTCTCCGGTCCTTGGGAGGCAGAGCATAGGGTGTAGGGTTTAGGGTTTAGGGTTTAGGGTTTAGTTAGGGTTTAGGGTTTAGAGGCAGAGCAACTATTTCGTGTGGGGATGACTCTGAGACCTACGGGCCCCCTCAATAGCAATCTCATGATTGCAGCCCTTTAAGCCCTAATGTCCTAAACTCCCCAAACCCTAAACCCTGCACTCCTCAACTCTGCTTTTTTTCTTCGGATTTTTTGTGGAGTCCTGTGTTCTTTGTTACAACTATCAGGGCTTGGGAGTTTGAAACCCGCAAGCCGACCTACCTGAAGGTTCATGTGGGGGGGGGGGGGGGGGGGGGCTGAACGTTTAGGGGTTTAGGGTTTAGGGTTTAGGGTTTAGGGAGTCCTGGACACGAGGTGCTGTCAGCTAGGCAGGTGGCAAAAACAAGACCTAAGCCCGAAGGCTTCTTAAGCACGACCTATGACTCCCAGACCCTGCAATTTAGTGGGTCAAAACCCCTTGAATATGAGGTATACCTCCCAACATAGAGGCAACCCCAAGTACCGTAATCCTTCTATAGGAACTTCAAAAAGGGGTACCCCGATTTTTGGAAACCCCCATATGGAGTCCGAGGTACCCCGTAAGCCCGAAAGCAAAACAGACACAACTAAACCCTAAACCCTAAACCCTCACAACTTAAGGTGCGATGGCTGCAGGGATCTGTGGCCCTGATTGGTGCAGCCTTGGTGATTCTCAGCTGCAAACCCTAGATTTCAGGGGCCTGACAGCAAAAGGGTTCCGGGTTTAGGGTTTAGGGTTTAGGATTGAAGGTTTAGGGTTTAGTATTTCGGATTCAGGGTTTAGGGTTTAGGGCTCAGGGCCTCTAGTGTTCAGGGGTTGAGGGTACGCAGAGGCCTGGATGCAAAAAGGGTTTCAAGGTTCAGGCGTTTAGGGCAAACCCTAAACCCTAAACCCTGAACCCTAAACCCTAAGCTCTAAACCCTAAACCCTAAGCCCTAAACCCCAAACCCTAAACCCTAAACCCTGACCAATAAACCCCGTTGTGCTGTGGCTAGTCGGGTGGGCAAACAAAAAGCCCTAAACCCTGGCAGTTTCCCTGTTCGAAAGAGTTCAGGGTTTAGGGTTTAGGGTTTAGGTTCCCCTACGAAGGCAGGTGGGGGTGTCTGGCTGTCAGCAAGTCCAAAAAGGAACCCTACGCCCTACTTGGAGTACAACTGTACTTCTAACCCCTTATAATTATAAGCCCCTTAAGTGCCTCAATATGGTTATAAGTACAGTTATAAGCTCAGGTTTTTTCCTCCTTGTAAACCCTCAAGCCTGATCCGGTTTCTGAGGCTCAGGGCGCGTGTGCGGGGCGGCGGCTTTCGTTTAACAATGGTATCTTCAGACGGAAAACCCTTCTTAACCCTCTTCTGGCTTTCTGGGACCTTATTCAGAGGGGCGGGGGTAGGCGGCTAGGCCCTCACCCATGAATATAGCAGAGTCAACAAAAACTGCCTCTACCATGATGATACTATGTCTATGATTAGCCCTAGTATTCGTACCATTCCCAGTACTTTTGCAAAACAGGTACGATGATTGCTCACTTTAGTAAGCACCATTTGTTAAGAGCCATCCAAAGTGCAAAAGCACGATCCTCCTTATAAGGGCAACATAGGGATTATTCTTCTTGGTTTGTCTGGGGAGGTGCTTAAGCGAATGGTAGAGTCGTACTGGTAGTATTCGTAATAGCACTCTAAGTTTAATGACCCGTGTCGCAAGGGCTTGGGACGGCTGATCGATGCCTAGACTTGCATCCTCAACCCTGAACCCCAACACCCTATAAGCCCTCAAACCCTCTAGGGTCTAGGGTTTAGGGTTTAGGGTTTAGGGTTTAGGGTTTAGGCTCTAGGGTTTAGGGTTTAGGAATTAGGGGTTCAGGAGCCCCCGAACCCCTTGAGCACAGGGCTAAAAGCAGCCCCAGTGCCCTCCGAACTTGCGAGGAATCTTAGCTCCTGCGCCTTCGCGCTGCTGGTGTCGGTCGCTCCCGCCGAGTGCAACTTGGGCGTGAAGCGGGAGCTGCTTTTGGGGGGGGCGTAGAGGGTGTCAGGTCATGTTAAAAGTTGAAGGACAGAAACATACGCAGGCACGCAGCAAGTCGCATCCTGATATCGAGAGCTATACTCACAAGAGATCACAAGGGGTTGTGTCTTGGATTCTTTCAGGGTTCTTCCTGGCTGGCTGTTGTGGTGGGGAGCATGATTCCTTGGTTTCGGGCTGGCTGGGTGGACTTCATGGTCATCTAGATGTATAGGGTTTTTTGTGCACTCTGGAAGGCTACTTGCTGGACTTGACTGCGGCAGCTTGGCCAAAGAATCCCCTAACCCTTCGGGATCTCCCTCCTTTTTGTTCCTCGCAGTGGCCTTGTCCGGATGCGTGGATGACATGTGTTTTTCTGCGCGTGCCCACACGCGCACTTGGTTGTTTTTTGTTGCATGTTTGTGTTGGGTGTTGTTTTGTTTGTTTGTTTTGTTGTGTTTTGTTTGTGTTTTGTTCCTCACCTGACAAGTGGGTCAAGACACAGTGGCACCCATCGTGTGATGTGACGTGGTCAGGGCAGCAGGCTGGCAGCCGGTAAAGTTTCACCGTTGTTGTGGTGGAGGGCCCGGTTGCTGGGCTGGGCCCGGCTTGCAAGCTGCGTCTGAAGCCAAAGCTCACTGGTCCTAAACCCTAAACCCTAAACCCCCTTATATTAGGCGTTCGAAGCTCATTTCACGGCCTGGCTCGCCCCGGGACTCGTCGTAAGTTATGTGGGCTTTTGCATCTCGAAGTGCGGGAGCTTTTGTTCTTGCTTCGAAACTTCAACTGCAACATCCTGAAGCTTGTTTAGGGTTTAGGGTTTAGGGTTCAGGGTTTTGGGTTTAGGGTTTCGTTTCGGAAATGCAGGAATTGCAGTAAACCCCACTCCTGAATTTACCATAGCACCAGCAACACCCCAAACCCATGTGTGTTGACCCCACCAACTCAACCTCCAAGAAATACTGACTGCTATGCCTGTCTCTTCTTCCACCTAAACCCTAAACCCTAAACCCTAAACCCTAAACCCTAAACCCTAAACCCTAAACCCTAAACCCTAAACCTCAAGACTTGTCCCATCGAAGCAGAAACGCTGGAGCGGCACGGGATGCAGCAGCTATGCGCTCCCTTCCCAGCACTGCAACTATATATGCAACTATAAATGCAACTATATATGCAACTATATATGCAACTATATATGCAACTATATATGCAACTATATATGCAACTATATATGCAACTAGAAATGCTTGCAGTTGGGTTCTAAGGACAGGGTGGGGGTGTTCAAAGAGGTGAGTGTGTTGTGTTGTGTTGTTTGTTGTGTTCGTTTGTTTTTTGTGCCTGTTTGTTTTTGTCTTTTGTGTGTGTAGGTGCCTTTATGTACATTATGTGCAAGTACAATTACAAGCGCGTTGCTTCCCCAAACAGCAACTCTCGGGTTTTTCCTCTCAGCAGAAACAGGACCCGGGTTGGGATAGGCCTCCCAAACCTTTCCTGCTTGGAGTCTTCGCCGGTAGTGAGTCTCTGCGGCAGCAGGGACTTTTGAGGTTTCATGACTATTGGGTGTGGAATTTAGGTCTCATGGGCGGTGAATGGGAGGTTGACTTGCGGGGCTTTGGAGCTTTCAGCAAGCTGGTTGCACTGACAAAGAAGGTTGCGCTGAAAAAGAAGCAGCCCCTGAACCCTAAACCCTGCAAAGTGGTTGCCAGGCTGCTAGGCAGGTGGCAAACCAACCCTAAACTCCAAACCAAGCTTGTTGAGCATCCACACGCGGACAGGTCACTTGTCTGGTGCTCCCCTTGCTCCCACTGACGCTGGTGGCAAACGAATCCAGATGGATTTTGGCCACGTGGAAAGGTTGCGAGTCACGCCATGCGCTCATTTGGTCCACTGCCGGCTTGCGCGTGCTGGCTCTTCTGACCTGTGCGGCTGTCGCCGTGTCTGCGCTGCACGCGGCGTCACGGGCTCCGAGCCCGGACCTTGAAGGCACATGCCGCCTGGTTCACCGCGGAATCCTCGTAGCATCCTGCCTCTGCGCGCCTTCTGTGCTGGCCTGTGGCTTGGTAGTTGAGTTATTGAATGCCCATGCTGTTCTTTGCCTTGGAAGGGGTACCCTAAACCCTAAACCCTAAACCCTAACCCTAAACCCTTAACCCTTAACCCTTAACCCTAAACCCTAAACCCTAAACCCTAAGAAGAGCTGCCCAGGCAGCCTCCTTCGTGCCAGAGGGTTGGAAGGTGAGAACGAAGCATCTCAGGAGGGCAGGCCCCAGACCGGCGACCGGTCCCTGTTAAGGGACACGTCTGGAAGCGGGTAGCTCGAGGAAAAAAGATCCGTAGGGACTGGAGGGCTGCTCAGGGTCCGAAGAGCTAAATGCCCCAAACGTGCAACAAGTCAGGCTCGTCTTAGGGTTTAGGGTTTAGGGTTTAGGGTTTCTAGTGGCTCCACGAAGCGTGAGATTGCCGAGTGACGGCATGGCAGAAGCCCCGAGCCTCGAAAAGCACCGCAGGATGTGCGTGGACCTAAGAATCGAAAAGACCTAGGGTTTAGGGTTTAGGGTTTAGGGTTTAGGGTTTAGGGTTTAGGGTTTAGGGTTTACTTTCCAGAGTCCTTCAAATGTACTCTGCCCACCGGCGTAGAGCAAGCTTAAGTTGAGGGTGGTTGTGGGGTGGTAAACCCTAAACCCTAAACCCCAAACCCCAAGCCCTAAACCCTAAACCCTAAACCCTAATCCCTAAACCGAAAGCCTAGACCCGTCTCCGGGCTCAGTGGGACACAGGACTCTGAGAGGCGGGATATCGTCAACGCCCTGGCCAACCACATCCAAGCCCAGGATCGGTTGCCCGGCCTGGCGGCCGGTTTAGGGTTTAGGGTTTAGGGTTTAGGGTTTAGGGTTTAGGGTTTAGGGTTTTGGGTTTTGGGTTTTGGGTTTTGGGTTTTGGGTTTTGGGTTTTGGGTTTTGGGGCTAGGGTTTTGGGGCTGCTTTGGGGAAAATTGGGAGTTTAGGGAGTTTAGGCTTTAGGGAGTTTAGGGTTCAGGGTTTGCAGGGGCCTCAAAGGGCCTCAAACCCCCGAGCCTACGCCCTCCCCCCCCTCAAGCAAGTCGGGGCGCGCACTCCGGGCAGGAGCTTTGGGGGCCTGAGCAGCCAGAAAGACGGGGACGAAGAGAGGGAGGGACCAGCAGAGAGTGCGTGGAACCCTTTTGAAGACTAAAACCCTACCCCAAACCTAAACCCTAAACCCTTAAACCCGAAACCCTAAGGCCCAAATTCCCCCAAATCCCTTCAACTTACACCTGAACCCTAAACCCAGAACCTTGAACCCTTAAGCCCAAACCCTAAAGTGTAAACCCTAAGCCCCAAAATTCCCCCAAAACCCCTTCAGCGTACATGGTGCCAGGAGGAGGCGTCGAAGTTCAAGCTGCTCAAGTTCATGGGCTCCAGAAAAAGCCTGGCTCCTGCCTGAGAGCACCGGACGCCATGAGGGTTTCGGGCGTTCAGGGCTTAGGGCTTTGGGATTCAGGGTTGAGGGTTTAGGGTTAGCAGGAATCAGGGCTAGTTGTCTCATATCGTTCAGCAAGTCCCGGAGTCCCAGCAAGCTTGTCCGAGTCTGGGTTCAAAAAAGGGCTTCGGGTTCAGGCTTTGGAGTTTCGAGTTTCGGGCTGTCTTTCGATTTTAAGTGAGGGTCCCTACAGTGGCCCCGCCGTCCGAACTCCTAAGACCAGCGCGGCCGACGCTGCGAATCTCGTGGTCCGGCTCTCAGACACAGCAATCCAGCAATTTCTCCAAGTTATTCGTGTGTAGGTATCTCTGTTAAGGCGATCAACTACATGGTGCCTAAACAGTGAGAACAGCCGACATGCAACGTTGAGAGGTTGAGAAGTTGAGGGTCACGTCATAACCGTGGGCTTGATCGCAGGTTCAGTGGGGCCGGATCCCACAAGACCCATAATGATGATTCAATAGCTGAAAAGAACCACATAGCAGTCTGATCTAATCATGTGGTGATACGTATAATCATATAGTAAGAAAATAAACATAGTATCGTATGATATAATGTAGTATAATGCAATCTTGTGAAATAGTATAATGATACCATATTACAATACGACAAACAAACATACAATATGATATAATCGTTTACATTCAGATGCACGGTTTTTGTTAATACTTGTATCATATTTCATACTAGAATAGAATGACCACATAACCCAATAGAATGAAAAGTATCAGAAAAACTCAACAACGAATTTATATCCATACAATGCCACAAATTAGCAATATAGCAAGACAAACCACAAATAAGTGTGTTTTAAGTCACCAGCTACAAAGCAAGGCATGCTCTGGCGAAACCCTAAACCTTAAACCCTAAACCCTAAACCCCCCTCCCAGCCAACAACAAGGCGAAAGTCACAAGCGAGAGGAGAAAGCCCATCACATCTTAGATGTGGCCCGGGACGAGGCAGACAGGATTCATAGAGTTTAGGGTTTAGGGTTTAGGGTTTAGGGTTTAGGGTTTAGGGTTGAGGGGTTGGGATTCAGGGTTTAAGGTATGGGGCTTAGGGCAAAGGGGGGTTTGAAGGGGGTTCAGGGTGTGGGTGTGGCTCAGAGAGGGGTCGGGGGGGGGGGGGGGGGGGGGTGGCCATTGCTGCGCTTTTCGTAGGTGCTTTGCCCTGGCATTAGAGACCGAGAAAAGTCCAAGCCCGGCCTTAGGGTTTGGGGTCAGTCTATCAACTCAAAGCTCCCAAAGCTTTTCAAAAGGGAAGTGATTATTGTAAGGACCGTACAAAGCCAGGAGCTCATGAAACAGGTGACTCCCTGGTTCTTAGTAGGGGATGAGGGAATGAGGGCCCCATATATACCTTTTCAGGGATTCCATGGGGTACTCATTCCGTCATTCCCTACTATTGACCAGCCCGACGAAGCATTTGGAGTGTAGGTGGTTTCCTATCTTAGGGTCCACCCGAAACCCTAAACCCTAAACCCCTAAACCCCTAAGCCCTAAACCCTAAACCCTAAACCCTAAACCCCAAACCCTAAACCCTAAACCCTAAACCCTAAACCCTAAACCCTAAACCCTAAACCCTAAACCCTAAACCCTAAACCCTAAACCCTAAACCTTTTCAAAAGGGATCACAAAAGAGACCCTAATGTAGAGAACTGCCCATATAGCTCTCCATGCCTGGACCTCCATAAACCCTAAGCCCTAAACCCGAAACCCTAAACCCTGAACCCTAAACCCTAAACCCTAAACCCGAAACCCCAAACCCCAAACCCCAACCTCCCTGCAAGGTCTCTCTGCTGCCCAAGGCAGTTTCGGAGTTTCCGAGCCAGCTTCGAAGACACGTTGAGCTCGGCCCGGTATTTCTTCATGTTAGGGTGGTTAGGGGTTTAGGGTTTAGGGTTTAGGGTCTAGGGTTTAGGGTTTGATTGTTCAAGAGCAGAATGATATATGAGCAAGCGGTCGCCACACCCTAGGCGTTACCCAACCCGCAGAAAGTAGAGCGCCAGACTCCCAGACATTCTGAGCATGCCAAGCACACCAAGTGCTTGACGACCTGCTGCCTCCAAGAGGCCGGCTTTCGAAGTCCAGGGGAGAAAGCGAGGTTTTGGGGTCCGATGCAGTGCTGCGATGCGTGACGAGCATTGAGGATTGCCTTCGAAGCCCGCATTCGAAGCTTGTGGCCCTAAACCCTAAACCCTAAACCCTAAAGCCTAAACCCTAAACCCTAAATCCTAAACCCTAAACCCGTTGTGCCCCAAGCAGTGGTAGACAGTGTGCAAAGAGCCGCCCAGACCGACGTGATCACCCGACTCACGGATGAGAAGGCCCAGAGCGAATCATGCGAGTCATGGAGGAGTTCAGTCCCTAAACCCTAAACCCTAAACCCTGAACCCTGAACCCTAAACCCTAAATGCCAGTAAGCCCATTGCATTCCACCCCTGCGGTAGGTCTGAGTCTGCTTTGGGAATGCCGCGGCTCAGGGAGTGGTAGGCTTAGGCGATTAGAGTTTTAGGGTTCAGGGTTTAGGGTTTCGGGTTTAGGGTTTAGGGTTTAGGGTTGGGATTTAGGGTTTAGGGTTTAGGGTTTAGGGCTTAGGGTTTAGGGTTTAGGGTTTAGGGTTTAGGGAAATGGGGTGTTAGAGCTTAGAGTTTCGCCTCTTGTGCGGGCACCCGCAGGATTCAAGCTTCAACTGTGGTGGTTCCCAAAAACCACGCTCGTTCACACCCCCCGCGCGCCCCTCACCTTTGACCAGCACGGAAAGCTTTCCCTCAACCCGAAACCCGAAACCCTAAGCCCTAAGCCCTAAACCCTGAACCCTGAACCCGGAACCCGGAACCCTGAACCCTAGCCAAACCCTCGACTGGCCGAAGCCACGCTCATGCCCACAGCTCTACAAGCCTCTTTGCGCAAGTGTGAGAGTCGGCGGCCTAAGCGGACAAAACCCCGAACAACCTGAAACCCTGAGCTCGGAGCACTGAAGCCGAAGCCTAGACCCTGCACCCCAACCCCCCTAAAACCCGAAAAGCCTAAAACCCTAAAACCCTAAAACCCTACAACCCTAAAACCCTAAAACCCTACAACCCTAAAACCCTAAAACCCTAAAACCCTAAAACCCTAAAACCCTAAAACCCTAAAACCCTAAAGCCCTAAAGCCCTAAAACCCTAGATTTTGGTTTAGGGTGTAGATTTAAATTTTGGGTTTAGGGTTCCTAAACCCCTAAAAACCCTCAAACCCTCGAACCTGGACGAGAGGCGATGATCGAGGAGCAGCTCCAACAGGAGAAGTTGCAGCGGGAGGAGCTTTGTCGACAGCTTCAGGCAGGGTTCAGGGTTCAGGGTTCAGGGTTTAGGGTTTAGGGTTTAGGGCTTAGGGCTTAGGGCTTTTAGGGTTTAGGGCTTTTAGGGTTTAGGGTTTAGGGTTTAGGTTTAGGGTTTAGGGTTTAGGGTTTAGGGTTTAGGGTTTAGGGTTTAGGGTTTAGGGTTTAGGGTTTAGGGTTTAGGGTTTAGGGTTTAGGAAAATGAGGGTTTAGGGCTAGGGTTTAAGGTTTAGGAAATATCGGGTTCAGGGTTTAGGTTTTCGGGTCCGATCCCCCCGGCCATTTTTTCGGGCTCAGGACTTGAGCTTGGGGCTGGGGTTAAGCTTAGCTGACCGGCAGAGTCTGGGTTCAAAAACAAAGTTTGGCAGGGGGGGGGGGGGGGGGGGGGTGGTTAAAACACAAAGTTTGCCGGGGAGGGGGGGGGGGGGGTTCGTTTGCGGCTTCATTTTGGGGATCAGGCTCGAAGCTTACGGTTGAGTGAAAAAACCCTAAACCCTTAACCCTAAACCCTAAACCCTAAACCCTAAACCCTAAACCCTAAACCCTCTTTTTTCAGGTGGTTCTGGTTGAAGCGAGGGGGGGTTTTCCAGCAGCCTCGCAGGCATGAAAGCTGGCTTTTTCGCGCTTGGTAGCCCGGTGGTACCCTTTGCCCTTTTCTTGGTGTTTAAGTCTAGGCCCCCTTATCAATAACCAACCGCAATTTCTTTTGTGTAAGAGGGTACCCTTATTTGTAAGCCCTAAACCCTAAACCCTAAACCCTAAACCCTAAACCCTAAACCTTAAACCCTTATTGGAACGTTGTTACTGGGGCTGGGCTACCAAGTGTAGCTGGCCTGTGCAACTTCCTCTTTGGCTGGTTTTGGATGGTGGCAGCTCTCAACTCTGAGGCAGATCTTGGTCTGGTTTAGGGTTTAGGGTTCAGGGTTTAGGGTTTAGGGTTTAGGGTTTAGAGTTTAATCAGCTAGATTGTTGTTTGCGAGGTTCACGCATCCACATCTAGACATGCGTGCGATTGAGTTATCTATTTCCCGTCTGGCTAAGAATAGCCAGTAAGGATGCAGACGTCCACACCGACATGCTCAGAGTGACCCTAGACCCTAGACCCTAGACCCTAAACCCTAAACCCTAAACCCTAAACCCTAAACCCTAAACCCTAAACCCTAAACCTTTGCACAGAAACCGGAGAGCAGGCCCTGGAAGCCAAACAGCGGGCTGCCGAGCGAGCCTTTGAGGAGCTGGGCTCAGGGCATCTTGGGAACTTCATGCGTTTTCGGGCTTAGGGTTCAGGGTTTGGGGTTTAGGGTTTAGGGTTTGGGGTTTAGGGTTTAGGGTTTAGGGTTCAGGGTTTGGGGTTTAGGGTTTAGGGTCTTCGCAGTCTCGTGGCTGTCACGTTTGAGAGCGTCCCAGTCGAATATCTTGCAGCAAGCTTGCCTGTGGGGTTGCGGCTTGCAATCGCACTTCACTTCTAGTCATGGGGGCCCATGGGGTCTGACGGCCCCAGTTTTTGCCCCTAAACCCTAAACCCTAAACACTAAACCCTAAACCCTAACCCCATTCAGAGTTACTTGGCGGTGTCTCCTGTCCAGCGCACTCGCGCACTTTGACACCCTGAAAGGAGAAGAAGGAGATCGAGGAGAAGCTGAGGACCGGGCCCAGTCAATGTCGAGTTCATCCATCTGAGGGTCTTCAAGAATGCCAGAAGCTGAAAGAAGCTCATCACTCCCGATACACCCCAAAGCCTTTCTCCCACGGGTGGGGGCAGGCTCGAGAAGCAAAAGGAGCACGAGCTGGAGCATGTGGCCGCCTGCTGAGCACGAACATGTGGGGTTCAAGCTTGCTGCTAGACTCTCGAGACTTCAGATTGGATTCAAGGCACCCATAAGTTGGCTCATATTGTTGGGTAGTTTAGCGTTTCCTGAGCCCTAAAAAGGCTCAAGCATGAGCGCCACACTGGTTCCGAGTCTGGGTTGGGATGCTCCCAAGTGCACGGAGACCCCTGAGGCTTACTAGATAGGACCCTTCAACTTCGTGGGTTTAAGAAGAGTGCAGGAGTACAGGGTAGGAATATTTTTTCAGAGGGTTTCAAGAGCCATCCCATCTGCTGGAAGCCATTGACTCCCACCCCGCTGCTGCAGCCTACAGCTGGGTCGGATCTCCGGCGATTGAGGGGTTGAGGGTTTTCCTTAGGCCCTAAACCCTAAACCCTAAACCCTAAACCCTAAATCCTAAACCCTAAACCCTAAACCCTAAACCAGGCCGAGAAGGAGCGGCTACGCAAGGAGCATGCAGATCTGCAGAAGGACCTGCCCTGCTTGTAAGGTGATCAGGTTCAGCGTCAACGCCTAGAGATACCATGTCGGGCGTTCTTCCCTTTGGGGGGCTGAACCGGGAAAGAACTCCCGAATCGCGAAGCCCTAAACCCTAGCCCTAAACCCTAAACCCTAAACCCTAAGGCCTAAACCCTAAACTTGCTGAAGCTAGACAGGATGTTACCGCATATGTCGTACGGTAGTCCCCGCAGTGCCGTGGCTAGTCGGGTGGCAGAAACAACCCTGAATCCTAAACCCTATACCCTATACCCTAAACCCTACACCCTAAACCCTAAACCCTAAACCCTAAACCCTAAACCCTCAACCCTAAACCCTAAACCCTAAACCCTAAACCCTAGCCTTAAACCCTAAGCCCTAAACTTCCTTAGCAGGAGACGAAGCTGGCCAAAGAGTCAGCAGCCGACCTCCAGAAGCGCCTCTCAGATCTGGAGCAACAGGACCTCGGAAGCAAGGGTTCAGTTTAGGGTTTAGGGTTTAGGGTTAAGGGTTTAGGGTTTAGGGTTTAGGGTTTAGGGTTTGCGGTTTAGGGTTTAGGGTGTACGGATTTAGGTTCTTTTTTGGGGGCTTGAGGGTTAGTTTAAAGATTTGGGACCTCGGACAACCTCCCACCCCCGTCCCCAGAACGGGGTTTAGGGTTTTAGGGTTTAGGGTTTAGGGGGAGGGTTTTGGGGAAGTTTAGGGCTTAGGGTTTAGGGTTTTAGTTCTTTTTTCTTTTAGGTTTTTTGGGTTTGGGGGGCTCTTGGAGTTTTGGGTTTTTGGGTTTGTGGACGGGACCTCAGAAGCGGGGGTTCATCAGAGGGTTTGGGGTTTATGGTTTAGGGTTGTAGGTTCTTTTTTGGGGGGTTTAGGGTTTTAGGGTTTTGGGGCCTTATGGTTTTAGGAGATTGGGGCATTGGAGCCATATGTGTGATTATGTATGGAGCAGCAGCCATGATAATTGCTGATTCTGACGCCTTGCGTGCCGCACACCAGAGTGTGCGAGATTTAGCTTAGGTTAGGTGTGCTGATAGAGATCATCCTGTAGATCCACCTTCCAAGCTTAAGGCACCCCAAATCACACCTAATCTGCCCGCGAAATCCCCTCAATCCAGAGATATTTATATATATATATATGTTATATATGTAGAAATATATATATATATATATATATATATATATATATATATTATATGTATAGAGAGAGAGGGGGAGCCCTTAACCCTAAACCCTTCCATCTGAAACCCTCAACCCTAGAGTCGCAACTTGGCATGTTCTCCCTTGTGCTCACAGTCCTTAATAGGGATTCGGGTACCCGGATTGTAGTACCCCCTGTTTTCGTCCCTACTAAGGACTGTTAGAATAAGGGGGAGGGTTTCGGGTTTAGGGTTTAGGGTTTAGGGTTGTTAGTATCAGGGGGAACATCCCCAGTCGAAGCCCTGAGTCCTGCTCAGTAAAAGAGGAGCTGCAGCAGCGAGCCGAAGCTCGAAAGGCTCCCCCCTTGGCAATTCGGGAGAAAGTAGGGCTTGGGGGTTTAGGGTTTAGGGTTTAGGGTTTAGGGTGTTTTGTGCGTCCATCGCATCTTGGGATGTTACCCCCTTCTGCTAACAGTCCTTAGTAGGGATTGCAATAGGGGGCGCGATAATCTCTACTAAGGGCTGTTAGCAGAAGGGTGAACATCCCAGATCGCATCCCCAAGAAGGCCTCCAGCTAGGAATGTTCCCTTTGCGCATAATGATAGCACAAGCAAGCCTTACCTTGCCATGATGGCCCACTGCTAACCCCCAAAGAAGGGGCTGAGGGCTCTTTTGTGCCTGGATGATTCCTTCACGGGCTGCCGTAATCGTACTGCGCCCATTCGCAGCTTGGCAAACTTTGCACACTGCGCCACAGGTTGGGGTTTTGTTGGGTCGAGAAACTTCCCAGATAGACCGGTATGCCTAGGTTCAGTAGGACCTCTTTATAGTAGGTAGCTGCCAGCCAAAATAAGGCATATATTCTTTAGCTAAGGGATATCAGATGACATGGGGCTCCCTGCGTTCCTGCAACCTGAACCCCTTGGGTTTAGGGTTTATTTAGGGTTTAGGGTTTAGGGTTTAGGTTTTAGGGTTTAGGGCAAGCCCTTGTTGCAGCCCATGGCGTTCCGCAGGAGCAGGAGCTGAGATATCGTTTGGAGGAGGAGCGGAAGCTCCAGCAGGACTTTAGGGTTTAGGGTTTAGGGTTTAGGGTTCGACCTTGGGACCCTGCTTTCTTTGTCCTTCGGGTTGAGAGTTCTCAAGAGAAGTAGCCCTGAACCCCAAGAACGCATGCCCTTAACCCGAAGTCTGCTAAACCCTACAGACCTCAAAATGTTTGTTATCAACAAAGACCCTACCTAAACCCTAGAACCCTCAACCAAGTTAAGGCAAGACTTTGCTGCAGGACGAGGTCGATTCAGGTTAAGGGGCCATGTCGGCAGGCCCTCTCAGAATCCTGCTTAGGGGTCAGGGCTTAGGGTTTAGGAAGTTTGGGGTAATAGGTTTAGGGTAAAAGGGGTCGGAATAGTTACCAATAGTATTCCCTTAGGGTCCCTGGAACAATATACTATAACAACCCCCCAAAACCCTATTCGAGTTATTCAGGCCCCTTTGTTACACAAGCCCTTTTGCATTGAAGCACAGAGTGGTGGCCGGAGGACCGCTAGTGTCTTAAACACTTGGGGTGGGGGTGGGGGGGGGTTTTGGGGGGGGGGGGGAACGAGTTTGGGGGGGGGAGGGCTAAGGACCTGAGAGTTTCAAGGGTTTCAAAAGGTGCGGCTTCAGGGGTCTGGGTTTAAACCCCGAGCCCTTCCTGCCCGAACCCGGCGCGTGTTCTTCGCAGGACCGCGAAGCGGATCTTGTCTCACAGCTGGATGCTTTGAAAGGCCAGGGCTGCATCCTTGAGAGGGTCCTCACTGGGGGGGAGTAGTGGGGGAGTATTAGGGAACCTTGGGTTCCACACCTCCCTTGAACCCCCTCCATGAAGGACGCTACAACCAACGTGAGTAATCTGAACCCTAAAAGCTAAGCCCTAAACAGTCCTCGCGGCTGCTTCTTGCATCCTGTCTGGTCGGTCCGGTTTGGAGCTTGGTGGTGGTAACCCTAAACCCTAAGCCCTAAGCCCTAAACCCTAAACCCTAAACCCTAAACCCTAAAAGGGCCCGCTCGCCCCCGGCCCCCGGCCAGGAATTCAAGAAAGCTTCGCGGAGACCTCAGAATGCCCCCAGGCTGTCTGTCAATGCCATAAGAACCTGAGAATCATCGACTCTAAACCCTAAACCCTAAACCCTAAACCCTAAACCCTAAACCCTAAACCCTAAACCCTAAACCCTAAACCCTAAACCCAGGATATTGTTAAAGTAATATAGTATTTTAGCCGATTATCGAGAGATGGTAATACTAGTCGCAGAATACTAGAAGTAATGTAGTATTTTTGCGAGATAGGAATAAAAGAAACACAGTGATCTTATTCGGTATTATAGTACTGTAGTAATTATGTGAAAATGGAGTATAATATTATAGTAAGGTAGTTATATAGTAGTATAGTCATGCGGACAGAAATATCTAGTAATCTAGTAATCTAGTAGTCTAGTAATCTAGTAGTATAGTCATATAGTAGTAGAGGAGTATGGTAATAAAAAAATAATAAACAAGAAATATAGTAGTTTAGATATACAGCAATATAGTAGGTAATTGTAAACGCTTGCGCGCGCCGCCTCGGCAGCCGGGCCGGCCCCAGGACAGGAAAGGAGCAAAAAAAGGGGAGGAAGGGCAGAGGGGTCAAAGGGGGGGCGGGGGGGTGTGGCGCCAGAAGCCCCGCATGGGGGAAGGGTTGGGTTAGGGGGAAGGAGGCCCGATCCGGGTCTGCTTGTTCCAGACGCCGAGGCGAATATAGCATTCTCATCTGTCTGAGGCGCTTGATGAAGCTCAGCTTGCTGCCAAGCGTGAGAAGCAGCATCGCCAACGTGAGGCGGCGGGCGAAAGCTTAGGGTTTAGGTTTTACGGTGAACTCTTGCCCAGAAGCGTGCCCTCGGGTGACCGCCAGCTCCAAGGCCACAAAATCGCATGTTTGCGTGGCTACTTTTGAAGCACAGGGAGGTTCGCCTAGATGATCCCAACAGCCTGAGACCCGCAACCCTAAACCCCAAACCCTAAACCCCAAACCCCTAAACCCCAAACCCTAAACCCTAAACCCTAAACCCTAAACCCTAAACCGCGAGGCGGAGTTGGCTAAGCTGGGCATGCACTGCATTGGGATGGACATTGACGATGTGCCTAAGGCCCGGGGCCGAGGGAGCTTCCTGCTTTGGAGAATTTGTTGAGATGAGCGTTCTCTTTATCTTGATTTTTACCTGGAACATGTTAGTATTACTATGTTACCATATATATATATATATACATACGTATATATATATATACATATGTTTTTAGATGTGGCAGGAATAGTTTTGTTAGTACTGATTATTACCAGAAATATTGTGAGTATCTTTTATGTTATCATATATGTATACTGAAACATATTCGGATGTAGGGGTTCTATGGTCCCCGTTTAGGACTGTTAGTAGAAGGGCGAACATCCCAAGATATGAGTCTCTTTAGAATGAGTGAAACCCCTATAATTAAGCCCAGGCTGCTATTTTCTCACTTTCTCAGCTCCCAAGGCGCCCGCCCCTTGAAGCCGCCACTGAGGCACCAAAGCTGGTCAATCTTCATCCAGATCCTGCCCTCAAGGCAGGGAGAGAGGAGTAGGGGTCTAGTCAGGGGCAGAATCGGTTTAGGGTTTAGGGTTTAGGGTTAAACCCTAAACCCTAAACCCTAAACCCTAAACCCGAACATGAACTCCCTCCCGTATCTTTGGGGGTGCGGCATTGAGAATGATGGCGGTCAAGCAAAGGCCTCCGTAGAGCAAGGAGGATTCTCAACCGGCAGTCCCCAAGGGTTTAGGGTTTAGGGTTTACGGTTTACGGTTTCGGGTTTAGGGTTTAGGGTTTAGGGTTTAGGGGCCAACCCTAACCCTCAACCCTACTTGAAAGCCCTGGTGGCTTAGTAAGTCTACTTAATCAGTACTAGAAACCCTTGTAACACTCCCCACAGACGTACTTGCTAAGGCAAAAAGGGCTTCCAAGTAAAACCTCAACCTTAAACCCCCAACCCGAAACCCTTCAAACTCAAAGCTTCCAGCCTGAAAACCCTAAACCCTAAACCCTAAACCCTAAGCCCTAAACCCTAAACCCTAAACCCTAAACCCTAAACCCAGCTTTCCAGGGCTGCCTCGTCTACTACCTGCCCTGTGGGGAGACGCGGATCGGGGCCGATGTGGAGCGTTGCCGCGTCACGCTCTCTGGCCTCAACGTCGGGCCGGAGGCTGCTTCCGTACTTACAGGCTTTGGGGGTTTTAGGGTTTAGGGTTTTAGGGTTTAGGGTTTAGGGTTTAGGGTTTTAGGGTTTAGGGTTTAGGGTTTAGGGTTTAGGGTGATGATTTTCATAATAAATGAAAGTGTGTGTTGTTGTCTACACAAAGACCAGAAGAAGAGTATGCTGGCATGACGGTTTTCATGTTCTTTGTTGGCTGTCTGGCTTGATTGTTTGGGGGGGGGGGGGGGTTAGAAGGGCAATGACTCGGGGCGGTTTCGTGGGGGCAACTGGGTTCTGTAGCAGTAATGGCGCAATCAGGGTCTGTAAAGGGTGTAGGGTTATAGGGTCTTTCAAATCGGGGTCGAGGGGTTTAGGGTCTAGGGTTTAGGGTTTAGGCTTTAGGGGTTAGCGTTTAGGGTTTAGGGTATAAGAGAATGAGAGTGATCGTTCAAGTTTGGCAGCGAGGGGTAAAGAGGTTTTATCCATGAGGAGAGGGAGGGGTTGACTGGTTCAGTAGAATCTGCCCGCTTTAGGGTTTGGGGTTTTTGGGTTCAGGGTGTAGGGTTGAGGAAACAGGGTTCAGGCCAAACAGTTGTGGAGCAGTACTGAGAGGTAGCCCGAGAAATACGACAGTGAGTGGTAGTGTTGTTTGTTTGATTGAGCTTGGAGCTTAGCAACAACCACGTTTTGAGTGTCACCTGAGCCTTATAGGGCTCCCTCAACGAGACTGCTGACCGCATGCCTCGCCTTTCTTGTCCGAACGTGAGCGATTAAACCTCTTACCTTCAAACCCCAAGCCCTAAACCTTAAAAACCTAAGCCCCGAACCTTCAATCCCCTTCAACCCTAAAAATCCCTAAGCCCCGAACCATCGGACCCTTAACCTGAAAACCCCCTAAGCCCCTAAACTTCAAACCCTACACCCTAAGCCCCGGAAATCACGGAGTATGCTCTGTCCCCCGTCCTCCCTGCAGGTTTGTGCCGTGGACAACGTCGATCATGCCTGGACCCCCATGGCTTAGGGTTTAGGGTGTAGGGTTTAGGTTTAGGGCTTCACACGGCTTAGGTTTTTTTGTCCGTGAAATTCGTGTACTCAGAGTTCGAGAATATCGAAGGGGCGTTCGCCATGCCCCTTTGTATGTGAACAACAGCAACCCTGTCAACCCGGGCAACAAAAAGACCCTAAACCCTAAACCCTAAAACCCTAAACCCGAAAAACCTAAAGCGAAGTGAATTCGGCATGCCGGTAGGGCTTAGCAAGAGACCGGGCCCTCAGGAGTATAGTGCGAGTGGAAGGATTTAGTAGCACAGCCCTCAAAAAAAACATATGCCTTAAGCACTAAACCCTAAAACCTAAACCCTAAACCCCCCAAACACCCTAAACACCCTAAACCCCCTAAATACCCTAAATACCCTAAACCCCCTAAACACCCTAAACACCCTAAACACCCTAAACCCTACCTCGTTTGCTCTTACTTTTGTCGGCCCCCTCGAGGTGCAGCTCTCCGTGCGCCCTTTGGGAGCTGGGCTGGTGCGTGCGGCTCACCTGCAGGTGGAAAGTGGTGTTTAGTTGTTTAGGGTTTCGGGTTTAGGGATTAGGATTTGAGGTTTGGGGTTTAGGGTGTAGGGTTTAGGGTTTAGGGTTCTAAAGTCTCACTCATTTTGGTGGTCAGAAGGGAAAGAGTGGTGCATCTATTCATGTCCCCTGGCTCCCATTCCGGCAACGCTCTCAGTCCGGCTGCAAAAAAGGGTTTTAGAACCCACCAGAGCTGCGAATTGTTTCTGCACTGTCCTAGCGCGGAGCAGGGGCCTGGATGCAAACACGATCACAAGCCAACTGGTAAAAAATCAAGGTTAGGGTTTAGGGTTTAGGGTTTGGGGTTTAGGGTTTAGGGTTTAGGGCTTAGGGCTTAGGGCTTAGGGCTTAGGGTTTAGGGTTTAGGGTTTAGGGTTTAGGGTTTAGGGTTAGGGTTTAGGGCTAGGACCCAGAGCAGGCCGTCAAGCTCGACCATCCCGATACCAAACCACAGCACAAGTTTCCCTTCACATATTTTGGGTATTTTCCTTATTTCGATTCATAAGTGCTAACTTTCAAAAGTCAAGGGGATTTTGGGTTGAGAACAAATCGGTGCGGGAAAATAAGTTTCGCAGTAGGGGCCTAAAGGTTTTGAATCATGGCTGCGCATGGGCGTACGCTTGCTCACAAGACCATGGGGTCAAAAATCATGGGGACATGTCGCGACTGCGGTGTATGTCCCATGTTGTTGAAGAGCAACCCGGACAAGCACCAACATAGTATATCTTGCTCCGAAAGGAGGGGTCTGTGCGAGGCAGTAGCGGCCAACGTTTTCCAGTTTGATGTCCTTGCAATGTTTGGGGACACAGAATTGCAGGCATAGCGGACGGTAGCTCGGAATTCGCCTTGCTGCTTCATGGGTGTGTGTTGGGCGGTGCACAGACGAGAGGCTAATGTACTACGGCCCGACTACGACCTTCAAGAAACACAGCTCGCAAACAACAAGTTAGCGGCCTGGACAAAAAGAATTTTCCCGCCATATTTTTTTCCAAAACAAAAACCCCGGGAATATTTTGTTTTGAGCCGCTCTCGCATTCAGGAAAACAGCTCCAGAAACAAGAGATTCCAGGCGTACAAGAAAAAACTTTCAGAAAAAATCGCCTGACCCGGGACATTTTCTTCAGGATTCCAGCCCCCCAAGCGTGAATTCAAAGAAAGAATGAGTTTCCTGAACGAGCGGCTCAAAACAAAATCTTCCCGGGAAATTCATTTTAGAAAAAATTATGGCGGGAAGTTCTTTTTTTCCAGGCCGGAGCAAAATGAACACATGCACCTATCTTGTTTTTGCGAGCTGTTTTTTATACAAGAGAATTCTGGCGGGGGAGCATTTTTTCGAGCCCAGATCCTCCTCGTTGCCTAAACTCTCCGGGCGCCGTGGGGGCACCCAACATACATGAGACTGCTGTGCTGACCCCCTTTTTTTGATTTTCGTAAGAACATGAAGACTAGTTAAATAGCACCGTGCGTTCCATTTTGGAGGCAGGTGCGAGGACCTGGGGTTCAGTTTGCTCGAACAAGGTTGTTCTTCTTACTGCTGAGTGCGGGGGGCAGGGTAGGGCTTTGTTACGCACATGTCGCAGGAGATGGCTGCGCCAGAGATGGCGGTTTTGCAGTTTTGACATTTTTTTCCAGCCTGCTAGGCATGGGTCATTCGTGTTTGTAATGTTACAGCCTACAGTCGATGTCAACAGATTTTTCAAGATGTCGCTCAACCCCACAGCTCAATTTCCTTGTCGAAGCTTTTCTCCTGTGACTTTTGAAGTTTAGCATTCATAAGGGACCCCGCATACCAATTTAAACCCTTAAACCCTTAAACCCTAAACCCCAAACCCCCTAAATGGGCATACCTAAGTAGCCCCTAAATAGCCCGTAGAGAACTCCTTTGGTCCCTGATAAGGGTCCATCCTTGCGTCCCTTGACTGTGACTCTCAGGGTTGGCCCTTAAACCCCTTAAAAGTATGTTGGCATACAGGGCCCCTTATGAAACCCCATATTCGGGCACTTGAGGGGCTTATCAGTGGGTGATAGGTACAGTTATTTCTGGTGAATAAGTACCATGAGCCTCCAAATCCTCGGGAAGGAAGCTGCCTAAAACTCAGGGCCCTTTGTTGTTTGGGGAGGGGGGGGGGGGGTCCCCGATGGAGCACCCTAAGGTCCCCTAAACTCTAAACCCTTATACCCCTTATACCCCTTATACCCCTTATACCCCTTATACCCCTTATACCCCTTATACCCCTTATACCCCTTATACCCCTTATACCCCTTATACCCCTTATACCCCTTAGCACAGCAAGCAAGGTGAATGGATGCAGAGTTGGTGAGGCGGACCAGGGGGGGTCCGACATGTCGGATGCGGAGCTTTGGTGTGTTGCAGTTTAGGGTTTAGGGTTTAGGGTTTAAGGTTTAGGGTTTAGGGTTTAGGGTTTGGGGCTGATGCTGTGTGGCTGGAGAAAGTTGGGGCCTCCCAAAAGCCACCAGAAGGCTTCAGTCAGCGACTTCTGAAGGCTGGAAACCACCAACCCAGACCCCCCCCCCCCCCCCCCCCCGGCGTTCTCTCGCCGCTCCCTGCCCCAGGCAGGCCAGCCACTGCGAGATGGTGACAGGCAGCGCTTTTGGAGTGCAAAAGCGGGGTTAGGGTTAGAGTTTAGGGGCTTTTGGAGTGCAAAAGCGGGTTTAGGGTTAGAGTTTAGGGGTTAGGGTTTGGGGTTTAGGGTTTAGGGTTAGAGTTTAGGGGTGAGGGTTTAGGGTTTTTCTCCGGAAGCGAAACGGACAGCACGAGTACATGTTCATCAGCATCCGGCACCTACATAAGCAAGGCGAGAAAAGGAATTGCCCACAAAATTCCTTCTAAAGGCACCGACGAAGACATATTATAGGGGTCGATATAACGAAGTTTAGTATTCCCTAACGGTCCCTGTATAAGTATACCGTAATAACGAGCCCTCCAGAACAACAAAAAACTATTGAAATTATGAAGGCCCCTACATGAAGCACATGCCTTCGACTCGTGTGGGTGTGGCATGTCCTCTCCAGGCTTGCCATCGGCCGTGCCTACATCTTCAGGGTGCAGGCCGGGGATTGTCTTCGCGGATGGGTTTAGGGTTTAGGGTTTAGGGTTTAGGGTTTAGGGTTTAGGGTTTAGGTCAACCCCCTAAGGGTTTAGGGTTTAGGGTTTGGGGCTTGCGTCCCAACTACACCCTCTCTGCCCCCCCCCCCCCCCCCCCCCCCCCCCCCCCCCCCCCCCCCCCCCCCCCCCCCCCCCCCCCCCCCCCTCCCCCACCCCCCCCGGCAAAAAGACAAACTCTGTGAGCCCTCTAAGGCGCAACCTTTTTGCCTGAAGTTGCTGACAGCCTGAACCGGTTTTGTTTCCTTAAGCCCTCCATAAAGCCCTAAACCCTAAACCCGTCACAAAAAAAAAACTAAAGCACAAAAGCCCGAACCCAAAAAGTTTCAAACAATTATGCCCGCCAAAGCCACACTAAGCTCGTGGGAAGCGACTCGACACTTCAGAGCATCCCATCGAAGGTGCCCCAGGTCGCGAATGCCCAGGCCAGCACTTGGGAGATAAACCCTAAACCCTAAACCCTAAACCCTAGACCCTAAACCCCAAACCCTAAACCCTAAACCCTATATGGGTAGTTCTGGCCCCCTTTTGGGGTCCTATCTACAGTACGGCAGCCTTATAACACACCACCAAAAAGACCCCAATTTGGAGAGCTACTCGTATATCGGGATGTGCAGAAATACTTGATAGCGGTTTTGGATCATGGTGTGTAGGACTTGGCGTTTCGTAGATGGCATGTCATGCAGAATCCCTCAACCCAGATCCCTAACCAAAACCTGGAACCGAAGCCTGCTGTAGGCATGAGCCAAGTGGGACTAAGCCAAGTTCCGAAATTCGAGACACGAAACCTGAAGCTGCACGCAAGGAGAAACCCGCAACAAAGCTGAGAGCGGGGCTGTTCGTGTCAGCTACTGTTCGTGAGGCTGACGCGGTGGACTTCGAGCGTGCTTTAGAGGAGTGAACGGGTTAGTTTCTGCAATCTCTGGATTTAGGGTTTAGGGTTTAGGGTTTAGGGTTTAGGGTTTAGGGTTGAGGCTCAGGGCTTAGATGGTTCAGGACGCGGGAAGGTGTTTTGTTGGTGGACATTGAAATCCTGCATTTCGCAGCGTTCGGGGTGCATTCAAGTGCAGAGCAGGAGCAGCGCAGCAGAGTTATCAGCCTAGTCCTTTACCCTGGCCTTGTTAAGAAGTCCACGACCCCGCAACCATGACCCAATACAGCCCAGAACCGTGTCCCTGAAAGCGCGGTAGGCCCTCGGGACATCTTCTAGTTTCCCTTGTTGACTTCAAGAGGGCCATCCTAGAAAGTCACCATGCTGGCGTGGACCCAATTGCACAACTTCTGGGAGCGCCGCTTCTCAACAAAGCACGTGGCAGATTTGGTCTCCGCAATGGGCGCATTCGGTGCCCTGATTCAACACCTCCCCCCCCCCCCACCCCTAAACCCTATAAGCCCTCTGCCCTAAACCCGAAAACCCTAAACCCCTAGACCCTAAAACCCTAAAACCCTAAAATCCCAAAAACCCTAAAACCCTAAAACCCTAAAACCCTAAAACCCTAAAATCCTAAAACCCTAAAACCCTAAAACCCTAAACCCTAAAACCCTAAAACCCTAAAACCCTAAAACCCTAAAACCCTAAACCCTCTGCCCTAAACCCCTAAACCCTAAACCCTAAACCCTAAACCCTAAACCCTAAACCCTAAACCCTAAACCTAAGTTTCAACGCTCACGGATGTGTCTAAGTAGGAGATTGCAGCTTCAGCGCAAGTGGATCCCGAGTGGGAGAACGGCGTCCAGAAGGCGGCACCGTGATCCTGCTTTAGGGGGGTTTAGGGTTTAGGGTTTAGGGTTTAGGGTTTAGGGCTAGGGTTTAGGGTTTAGGGTTATTTAGGGACAAAGAAGGGTTTAGGGTTTAGGGCTTCGAGTTCAGGGCTGCCCTAATCCCATTTAGGGCTTATAGGGTTTAGGTTTCGGGTTTAGGGTTTAGTGTTTAGGGCTAGTTCGGGGCAACAAAGGGGTTCTTGGCTTCTAAGCTTTCTTCGGTGTCACGATGTGATGCGGTCACCCACTATGCCAGCACCCCCTGAGCCCGTACAAGCCCCTTTGAAGCCTGAACCCTTAGTAACCTTGGTAGCCCAGTGGTACCCAGGGTTTAGGGTTTAGGGTTTAGGGTTTAGGGTTTGGGGTTTAGGGTTTAGGGTTTAGGGTTTAGGGCTAGTGGTAGCCCAGTGGTACCCTTCACCTTTTTTTTGGCTATGGGTTCCCTTATAAAATAACCAACCCCCAATTCCCTTATTATAATATGGTTACCGGGCTACCAAGTAACAGACAAACTCGAAACTCAAGTGGCCAACATGCCTCCCCTAGGACCCCTTGCTGCTTGTTTCTTGGTGCCCAAACCCTAAACCCTAAACCCTAAACCCTAAACCCTAAACCCTAAACCCTAAACCCTAAACCCCAAACCCTAAACCCTAAACCCTAAACCCTAAACCCCAACCCTAACGCCAAGGTCTTTGCTCAAAGTTCCTGTGTGCCTCCGATCCCACCCCCTTTCTGCCCTGGGAGTCATGGCTTTCTGCGCGTGCTGTGCTGCCGAGACCGAGGGTGTTGTGGAGGAGGTTCCCCCAGCCGCTGCTGTGGCGGTTGCAGAGCCTCCCAAGGTGGAGAAGGTCCCTAAACCCCTACACCCCTAAACCCTAAACCCCAAAATCCTAAAACCCCTAAACCCTTAAACCCCAAAACCCCTAACCCCTAAACCCTAAACCCTAAACCCTAAACCCTAAACCCCAAGGTGGACAAGATGGTGGAGGAGCCCACGGTGGCCGCACCAGCTCCGGGTGTGGTCTTCACCTTCCTCCTCCCCGATGGCTCGAGCAAGGAGATCACCTTCACTGCCAAGCCGTTGGGATTCTCGGACTGTCGGGGTTTAGGGTTTAGGGTTTAGGGTTTAGGGTTTAGGGTTTAGGGTTTAGGGATTCTCGGTACGGTAGGGGTCGGATTTTTAGCGAACAGTACTACCTTTTGGCCGATATATAATGATACTAGTATAGTGATACTATCAGAACCCCCAAGGCCCTATTCTAATTATCAAGACAGTAGGCGCTTGGGATTTCTTTGATATTTTTTCTAGACCCTACTCCTTAGCTTAGACCCTTCTTTGTGAAACCGCGTCTCGACTCTTAAGCCTAAACCCTTCTTGGGTTTAGGAGGATGATCCCTTTAGGAGTCTCTCTTTTGGCTTCTAAGGGCCAATCTCTTTAGGAGCCCTAAACCCTAAACCCTAAACCCTAAACCCTAAACCCTAAACCCTAAACAAGGATTGGACTTCAGCAAGTCGGTGCCGATGACCGTGAAAGCCGTGAAGAAGGGGTCCGTGGCCGAGGCCGAGAGCGTCGCGCCCAAGTGGGTCATCTCGCACGTGGCGGGGGATCCGGTGAACACGGAGCTCAAGGAAGCCATGGGGTCAGATTAAACCCTGAACCCTAATAACACTAAACCCTAAACCCTAAACCCTAAACCCTGAGCTCCAGGAAGCCATGAGCCAGATCCTGCGGGCCGTGAAGGACCTCCCGCAGAAGTGAGGCGACTCAGCTTTCGAGTACCAGGATGGGCCACACGGCCTCAATGAACCCACACAATCGACCCCCACACAGGGCCTTTTTAGGGACTAGAGGGCATAGTATCCCTAAACCCTAAACCCTAAGCCCTAAACCCTAAACCCTAAACCCTAATCCCTAAACCCTAAACCCTAAACCCGCAAAATCATCATCGACCCTAGTAAAGTGCCTTTTCAGGGGTTGTGGGGCTATAAGCGCCCATCCTGGTAGGACCAGGCAGGACTCCCTAGGAGCCCTTGCAGTTCAACGTCCAGCGTGAGGCTGCGACGGCGCCACCTGAACCGAGGGTTTTAGGTTTAGGGTTTAGGGTTTTAGGGTTTAGGGTTCAGGGTTTAGGGTTTTTAGTTTTAGGGTTTAGGGGGTTTACGGTATACAGGTTGTCGGGGTACTTGGATTTGGGGTCAAGGGAATATAGGTTTTTGGGCAAATTTTGGGGTTCCTGGGTGTAGGGCTGGGGTTTAGGACCAAGTTTAGGGTTTATAGGCCTTGAAATTTCGGGGTCGATATCCTTTGGGGGGGTAAGTGGGTCTCAAAAGATGGTGTTTAGTTTACAAGTGTATAGGTTTGGGATATTCGCCCTAAACCTTAAACCTTGAGCCTTGAACCCTAAACCCCAAACCCTAAACCCTAAACCCTAAACCCTAAACCCTAAACCCTAAACCCTAAACCCTAAACCCTAAACCCTAAACCCTAAACCCTAAACCCTAAACCCTAAACCCTAAACCCTAAACCCTAAACCCTAAACCCTAAACCCTAAACCCTAAACCCTAAGCTTATCGGGATTCGAAACAGCCACAGGGTGGCCCCTCTCGTCATGTTGAGGCGGACAAACACGCTTTGAGAACCTTCGGCCAGGTTGCCGCGCAAGGCGCAGCATCATCGGAGCGTTTAGGGTTTAGGGTTTAGGGTTTAGGGTTTAGGTTTAGGGTTTAGGGTTTAGGGTTTAGGGTTCAGGGTTTAGGGTTTAGGGTTTAGGGTTTAGGGTTTAGGGTTAAGTTTTACAGGGCCAGGCAAGGGTCCTTAAGGGGACGAACTTAGGCTTCAATCGGCGACCGGGCCTCAGCAGCACTTTCCGAAGACGATCGATGCTGCCTTGAACTGGCAGGGCTCGACAACTTGGGCGCGCTGCAGAGGGGCGTGGGGATGGTTACCAGGATGGTGTATTTCCTTAGAAAGCCCTTTCTGGGGTCGATGATGGGGTTGAGGGATTAGGGATTAGGGTTTAGAGATACTATACATACCTCAGAGAGTCCGGGCTCTATAGGCTCGATTGTGGGGTTTAGAGGGCCCACTAGCCCCTCCTGGTGGGGCTGAGGGTTGAGGGTTTCAAGATTTAGGGTTTATTGTTTAGGGGCCAACGCACGAGATCATGAAGGAGCCCTGCAACCCCTAGGGTTTAGGGTTTAGGGTTTAGAGTTTAGGGTTTAGGGTTTAACAAAGCGGCCGAAAGCTCCGCAGAATGATGCTGGGTTTACGCTTTCGGGTTCAAGGCCTGACGGCTGTTCCCAGTTTCCTGGTGAAGAGGGCTTTAATGTTTTGGGGTTTCGGGTTTAGGGTTTAAGGTTTATTTAGGGTTTAGGGTTTGTAGGGATTAGGGCTCAAGAGGATATGCATGGGTTCAACGAAGGGTCCAGCTCGCCCGTTGTACCTGCCCTGCGCTGCGTTGCCGGCCTGCAGGCTGCCGCATCCGGGAGCCTTGAACTACAAGTATCCACCTTGCCGTACTCAAAGCTGCTTAGTGTGATAACACCCAGTATCATTATAGTACTCTAACAGAACAGAATCATATCATTACAGATAAAATGTAAGCAGATAACACATGTCATGATGGAAAAAGATCTTTGCAGCTGTTTGAATAAGCAAGTGTAGTTCTGCCTCGGCAGTTCCCTGTGGCACTGCAACTCCCGGCAACCTGCCCTTGACTGGCATCTGTTTTTTTCCAAAGCGTGAGCTGTTGCAGACGGAGACATGCGGAGAGACGAAAATCTGCTGGATGAGAGGGAGAGTCGGAGAGTGGCAAGAGAGCTCCTACACGGTCCCCATAGTTATCCCAAGCGGGGGAATGCTCTTCTGCAGGAAGAGTCCCTCGAGACATCCTGCATGCACGCCATAAGAACGATTGCAAAAACATCGGGGCCCAAGTCGAGAGCCTCCAGACGAACCACTGAAGTACTTTTGTTCCAGCTTTTTTAATCTTTGAGCATTATCAGCTTTTTCGGTTTTTCAGTAAGACGAGTAGGGGTCGGCTGAATTTGGAAGTGTTTCACCTCTTCACGGGCCTGGAACAGATGTATACGGTTTGTAAGGAGAGTGGCTGTGGGGCCTGTAGCAACTGAAGCCTCGATTAGAAAAGGATTCCCGCGCACATGGTGGGCGTATCCTGTGTGCCTGGTTGAGCATCTGTAGTCCGCAATCAGCGTGTGTCAGCTGCAAGGGTTGCGCGTGTGATGGAGGTGTACAGTTCCTAGGTTTTGGCCGTGTAGTCTATGCAGTCCGCTCGGCGGGTGTATTTTCACCGGAACCTCATCAGAAGAGCCCCGCCTGTGCCAGCGTGAGAGTCGAAACCCTACACGCTGAAGCACCTGAACGACTTGACTTTAGGGCTTCAGTCATAGGCTTTGCATGGCCAACAGCTAGAACCTCCGGACCTTATACATCGAAAGCCCTCACGAACCTCCTTCTTCTGGCTACAGGCCATGATGCTTGTGCAGAGCGATTTTGGCGACGACGCCGCCAACAAGCTGTTGCTGCAGGCCTGGCACCTTACACTTCAGTTGGGAGCTGTTGGCTTGCACTTTGTGGCGTAGGGCCCCCCCCCCCCCCCCCCAATGTGCAGTCCTTGTGCTCATTGCACAATGGGCCCAGCTTGCACAAGCCCATTCCTCGCTGTTTTGCGCCGCAACTTCTCCATCAAGTCCTGGCCAGCTGAAAGTGATTTTGGGAACCTACCACAGCCTGACCGGTAGTGCTTCTGGAGACATGGTGCTGACACGCGAACAAGGCACACCTGTGATGACCAGCTTGACGCAGACATGCCGTGGCAGCGTTGCCCGCGGAGCTGGCTGTCAGAGCAACCCGCCAGCTGTGGACATGCTGACAGACTGTGTGGCAAAAGGCCTGCTTCCAGGCGATGCCGTCATCACGTGCTACGCAGTGGCTCCAGATGACAGTGTCATCCCGGCAGACTCCTGTGATGCCATCGCGGATAAGGGCGTCATTGGCATGTATGCTGTGGGCGGGCTCTTGGATTTTTCGAGTGGGGTTGTGAAGGTTCAAGTTCAGAACACTGATATCAACTTCGCCCCCAGTTATGGAGGTGCCACTGCTTTAGTGAGGCGAATGGGAGAAGCGCGCGGGGTTGTTCTTGGTGTTTCTGTCGCGCAAGCGGGCAATCCATGCCCAACTGTGCCCGTTGTCAACAACTCCCAGGATCTCAGTTCCTGCAACAATGCCTTTGATGGCTTCCTTTGTGCGGTTCCATGTGCAACAGGATTTATCCCGAGTGGTGGAGGTTACATTTGCAACAACGGAACCTATGAAGCGCTCGAGACCATTCCCCAGTGTGCGCAAACATGTGCACAGGCATACCATCCCTGCCAGCCTGGATTCATCCAACAGTCTGCGGAGGCTCCTGCTGTGAGTGAAGACTTTTGCTGCTTGAGGACTTGCGCAGCTCACACTTGCCCAGCAGGGCACATTCCTGTTCAAGCGAAGTTGGCCTCTACGGTTGTGTCGGATGCCGACTGCTGTCGCGCCTGCCTCGAACCATTCTGGGAATCTGTGATCTCAAGGCCCAAGCGATGGGAGTTGTTATGGCGGAAGTGAACTCGACGAGACGTTCATCTTCAATCCCAAGGCCGAGCGCTGGACGGAGCTGCGCCGCTGAGGGGCCGGCAGGCACGGGCACTCGGCCAGATACGAGCTCCCTCGTAGCTGGCCGAGTGCCTGCATTTTGCCGCCGGCCCCTCGGGGGAGCAGCTCCGTTCTAGCGGCGCTCGGAATGATGGCTCCTTCCTCGAAAAAAGTTTCGGCAGTTTAGGCTTTACTTTGTGTGTTGCCACTCGTCCTTGTTTGCTCCTGCATAGAACTGGACAAACCGCACAAAGCGGCCACTGCTAGAGGCTGATTCGCGGACCGGTGATTGAACTCGTTCCTTCGCTCATAGAGTGTCCGGGCAAAAGCCGGGCAGCAGTCTTCACAGAAGTGTGGAAGCTTATGCCAGTTGAGGCCCCGAAACAGCAGGTTCAAACCCCAGGGGCCGACACACTGAATGTCCGGGGGGGTGGATCCAAAAATCCTTGCTCAGGGAAGTTACCTGAGGTTCCTGGGTCCTAGGTCCTACATTAAGGGGAAACCTTAGGGGTTGAAATGATGTATTCGAGGCACGGGGATCCTTTGACCGGGTAGGGTTTGGAAGCTCTCATGCCCTGCCACTTTGCCCTGCAGGCCAAGAGAGCTTCCGAAGCATGTGCCGCCTCGCTTGACTCATTTTCGGGGCAGGAACCCCCTGAAGGCTTGCTGGCTCTTAGTAGGGAATTGCGAGGATGAGGTAAACCCTAGCCCAAAACCCTAAACCCCTATATCCCCATAGTACTCTACGTATACCCTTTGAAGGATAATCCCCCCATTCCCTACTCAGAGCCCGGATGGGCAACAGCCCGTGCTGAGGGCTGCCGAGCTTTCTCCCCTCTTCGCCGACCCTTTTAGGGTTTCGGGTTTAGGGTTTAGGGTCTAGGGTTTAGGGTTTTAGGGTTTAGGGACTTAAGGAAATGGCCAACGGAGTCCTGCAGATGCTCCCGGCGTCCATCACCGACGACGTGCGGAGGCACCACGCCGAATCCCTTGCGAAGTAGTTTCCTCCCCCTGGGTAGGTTTTAGGGTGTCGGGTTTAGGGTCCCTTGATTTTTAAAAGCCGGGGTTCTCCAGCCCCTCACTGCTCTTACTGTCGAACCCCAAAGGTCATG